TGTACCATATTCATCCAGCTCTGTAACTATTTTTAGGTAACTATATCATAGTGGTTGCCTTTATGAGCCTCACGCCATCACCTGACACTCCAGCACTGAAAGATTATACTCAGCCCACTGTCTCTCCTTCAGATTCAGGTATTCTTCATGGGAAACGTCAAAAGACACTTGATTATATTTTCAATATTTACTATATATATAGATATATAAATCAGGACTTCTGCAAAGCATTAAGCTTTTTACAATGCTATAGTATGATTAAAGGGGTAATTGTCTTCGTTTAATCATTAGATCCTGATATAATAGAGGGGCCATCAAGGATTTCTCTCAATTGTCCCATAAGGTATGCCTTGACATTCGTTGCTTGTAAATTTAGTGTTGCTATATTTTTCTTACCTTATTTCTTGTATTTTTAATCTTTTACTTTGGAAATGGGTATTCCTTGGATCTTTGACCTGAACCGTGTTATCAGAATTTACCTTAAGTAGAAATGTCAATGCTAAAAACTTTGTGGGATATCTGCTTATGTTTTATCAATCTGATCTGGAGAGGCTGAGTTAATTTCATATGAAGATATCGGAGGTTAAATGTTGATGCCTATTAATGTGATCTTTCTACTCCATATATTCTGAACTTCTGATTGAAGAAACCTTTTTGGTTTTTGGCTGAAAGATTGAAACAACATTTATTCTAATTTTCTTATGTTTTTGGTTTTTCATCAGTTAGGCCAGCTGCTTCTATGCTTGTTTAAGTTTTGATTTCAACAATTAAAATAGCATTTTGGTCATGCATCCTACTTTTGGTGAATAAATTTGTTATTGGGTTGAAGTGTGTTTCATATCATGTCTATTTTTTGGTTGTTTATTTCTTTATGTTAAATGGACAAAAAATGTGAAGTTTACTAATCCTTCTGTGAGAAACTTCATTGTTATGATGCTGATTGTTACTTTTGTTTTTATCTGCAAAACAGTTATACACGTATAAAAACTCCTGTCAAAGGACATTTTTGCAAACATCTTCAGGTGAGTGCTCCATGCATCTTCTTCTCCTGTTGATGCCCTTGGTTTTAAATATTTGTTTACAAGTTCCTGCATAATCGTTAGGTAACAAGCTTTTGAGACTTGTAAAATTGTTCCTCGATTTGTATGCATTTTGCATGCATGATTGATTTTTATGAGACCTTAGGTTTTTTTTTCCAACTTGTCCACCTGCATTATATGATGTGCTGTTTTGAGGTGACATGGTTTCAGGTTTATATGTTGGAGATATTTCTTATGAGTTCAGGTTCAAATTGATATTTTTAAAATAGTACTATGACTTTTATGCTATGGGGGTTGTAAGGAAGATAGAAAAGGCTGAGTGAAAGTTTGTTCTATGTCCCACCAAAATGTTCTATAGTAGTTGAGGTTTGAAGGGGAAGTTGAGAATTAGGAGCTAGATTTGTTGTCCTTTAATCCTGAGTATTTTTTTTTTTTGTTTAAACCTAACAGAGGAAAATATCATGATTTTCTACTTCCTTTCTTCTTTTCTTTTATCTTCTCTTTTACAAAATATACCAAACAAGGTGATAGATAAATAGTTTTCTTTGTAATTCAGTGTTACTTTTTCTTGAACTTGAAATTCAAATTCTGTTGAGCTTTGGGTAGTCGATGAAATTTGATGTTATTCTGTCATTGCACATGGAGTTATATTTTCTTTTAACAGTAGTCAATACAGTCTTCTAATATAATTTTCTGTGACTTATATGAGCTATAGTGTTTCGACTTCAGTAATTATGTCAATATAAATTTAAGACGACCTTCTTGGCGCTGCCCCCACTGTAATCAGTATGTCTGCTATTTGGACCTTCGCGTGGATCAAAATATGGTTAAGGCAAGTAGTTATTTATTTTTCATTCTTCCATATCTGTTTGTGTTATGTTTTTACCCAATATTGTAAAATCAGTTGACTTTCTCCCGTAGGTCCTGAGAGAGGTAGGAAAGAACGTCGCTGAAGTGATAATCTCTATGGATGGATCATGGAAAGCTGTACTGGAGAATGGTGAGGACTTAGGTCAGGCACATGATAAGACCCTTCAAAGAGAAACGTCTGAACAGGAAGAATCTACCTGTATCTCATCTGCATTTCCTATTGTTTTGGATCTTACCGAGGATGATACTGAGATGGACACTGTGAGTGCCTGTGAGACCGAAGACGTGAAACCTCTTTGCAACACAAACGGGGTTAATCAAACTGTTCCTGCTCATCTAGAGGATGGCTTTTGGTCTGGCATTTACTTTCCTAATGGCTCGTTGACCTCCAGTATAAGGTCAGACACCCAAATGGATGGTGGTATCCCGCACTCTGGTCCTGCAAATTATTTACAGCTGCCTGTGTTGACTGATGCTATTTCTCATGTGCTTGATCGAGGAACTGAGAGCCATGTGAACACTAATCCTGTGGCATCTGCAATGCTTACTCAATATTCTTCTTCCAATAATTTGCAGTTACAACAGCCAAGTTCAAATGCTACTGTTAGCAGTGAGTATGGGAGATTTGCGAACATAGTACTACCCAGGACACCAACAGCAGTTCAGGCCCTTCCCGCCCAGACGCCAGGATTGCAGCAAAGATCAAGAACTAGTTTAAATACTCCCCCTAGTGCCTCTCTTCTTTCACAGGTTGGCCAATCTGTCACACCTACAGCAAATGGTGTCAATGCAGTATGTAGTGATATGGAAAGGCAGCAACATTTTTCTAGGGCCCGAATGAATCCACCTCAAGTGTCAAATGTCGCGCCTCCCTCAATGCAACCTCCCTCACAAACAACACAGGTTAGTCCTTCCACTTTTCTTGATGTCCAGTTTGTCGTGCTGGTGGCGACCGGTATAAATGCAAGTTGGGAACCCTGAACCTCAAACTCCTGATTTTTAATGAACACTTTTCAGATTGATTGGTTGTTGGTCAAAGCATTGTAGGGACTTTTTTCGTGTGCTAATTTACGGAATTCCAATCTAAAGGATATTTTCTTGATGTCCATTTTGTCAAGCTAATGAATTGCATTTCATTAATCTTACAGAACTGGGATTGTCATGGCCAATCTGCCCAACAGGTTGTTGGCCTTCCAGCTCCAAGTCAAATGCAGAGTGCTAATCGGACATCTGTTGGCCTTATGGAGTTCCAAAATGCACATCTGCAGCAAGCTCTTAATCCAAGGACTCCCCAGACTGTGGGTCCGTTTTCAAGCGCCAATGGATCATCTTCACATCTCTCACGGGCTCAAATCCAGCAAGGAAGTGTACGAGTTGGGACTGGTCAAACATCAAGTTCTTTAAACAACCAACAAAGGTTCATGATTGCTCAGCAGCAGCTAGCTGCTATGATGTCCAGGCAGTCTCCATCAACGCCAGATCAAAATCAATCCCCGAGAAACAGGCCAATTTTGGCGGCAAATGCTGAAGGTTTTAGGTCCGCAGCAATGGAGCAGGGCAGAAACATAGTGGGAACGGTGCAAGCAGTTTCAGGTGCTGATGGATCACCAGATTTGTCATCTGGGGAGAACTGGCGACCAACAGGTCGGATGCGTGGAAGCCTGTCGGGCCGTGCTTACTCTGCTGCTCTTAACCAGTTCATAATTCAGCCAACCCAACCAACTCCAGCTGCTCCAAGACCTCCGTCAAATCTGTCCGCTCCACCACATCTTGTTGCCGCCCAACAGACATTGATTGCAAACGGGAGCACTCAGGTTCCTCAAACAAATAATAGCCATCCACAGTAGATTCGATCTTGTCTTGAGTCGAAGGCATATGTATTCTGCCAGGTGGTTCTTTTAGGCTGCTGTATATAAGGTAGTTGGTCAATTTTGTGTTCAGTGGTGAACCGGTAAAGCTAATTTAGGACAATGTTCTGGTTTTAGGTGATATTTAGGGCTCCTGAATTGGGCGGTTTCGACCGAAAAATGAAGAATTGGACGATTCGGGGGTCGGCTTGTGAATTTTAACATGCAGCTTCTGACTGCATTAGTTGTTGTAATGATGCTGTAGTTGACTGATTTTACTTTGGTGCTAATTATCCATGATAGTTTATATCTAAACGTTCTGAGTTATGAGTCCTGAGTTATGATTGTAATAGTGATTGAACTTATTCAAAACTGAGGAGTGCCAAGTTCAGTTGCGCGTGCACGCTTTTTTGGTTTTGGCTTTTGATGGTAAGTGCGTGCGACTGACACGAATAATTGTAGCTGCATGGCAAAATTTGTACTCGAGCTGAACCTTGTGGTTCACTTCTACGTTCAAATTTGAATTCACGAATTTGAACTCACATTCGTGTAAGATGAATTTAATGTAAATTATTCTATTACTTGTTAAAGAAGATTACATTCACACTTGATGCCGCATTCACATTCACCATTGAGATGGGACAACATGATGATCTTACATCAATTGCTGAAATGATTATTTTTAGCATTTGATTAATATGTCGTTAATGTTAGAGCAAGCAATATGTCAAAATTTGACTGATACACGTTGTCACTATAGTAATTTTGATCAATTAAGATTTGTAAATGTTATAAATATGAAAAACATTAGAGAGATAACCTTTACTAGAAACAGGAGAGAAGCAGATGCAAGATATTACAATGTTTAGTTTTGTAACTATAACACAAAGATCACAGGAAAAAGAAGAAGGGACGGATACTGATATTATTGCTTTCACTTCTTTTTTTTTCTTTGCTGTGGATTGTAATCACACATAGAGTGTTCTTTATATAGAGCCACATCTGTGACAAACCAAAAAATAAAATGATTACACTTTTTGAAAACTTCACATAATAACAAACTACGGTGACCTTTTTGAAAACAACACATAATAACAATTACATTACTGTGGACATTCATTATCACAATTTTACAACAGTAAAATCATTGTAATCACCCAATCTCCCAAATAACTTCTCCGAAAATCTGTCAAAAGAAGAAGAGGAAATTTTTTTTTTTGAAAATGATAGATATACGACATGTCGTTTTCTACGCGAGAGTCTTGGAGTCCGTGAGAAGCAGAGCGCCCGTCGATGATCGCACTCTTCTGATAACTTTCTCCCTACTCGGCCTACTCAGCCACGAGCCACCACAAACGACGGCGTTTCGAATGTGATCTGACTCCCTCCGGCATACTGAGTCATGAAGTGCCGATCCGTTGCTTGCATATGGTCAGGCACGCCTCCATCTCACCGCGTGACCGCCGCGGCGGCGCTCAACCAACCCCCTACGCTCTACACCGGCGGATCCGACGGCTCCATCATCTGGTGGAACCTCCGTTCCACCGATTCCAACTCGGTACTTTCACTCGCCCACCACTTGTTTGTTATATTTCCTTGAATTACATTTCGCCTTGGTTAATCGTTTGCTTAGTTTAATCTGCTAAACAAGAATTTTTTAGCTGAATTATGCAAATTATAGAGTTTTTATAATTATGACACTGTTTAGAATGCGTTTGAGTAAATGAAATTCGTATTCGGGACAGGAAATTGTGCCGGTAGCTATGTTGTGTGGGCATGCTGCTCCCATAGCCGACCTCGGCATTTGTGATCCACTTGTAGTTTCGGGGAGTGAGCGGAGAGGCTCTTTAAGTGACGTTGAGGTGAGCTCGAGCTCCTATAGTCATGGCGCGTTAATCAGTGCATGTGTTGATGGAATGTTGTGTGTGTGGAGTAGAAGCAGTGGGCATTGTAGGCGTAGAAGGAAGTTACCACCTTGGGTTGGCAGCCCGTCCATGGTTCGGACATTGCCATCGAATCCGCGTTATGTATGTGTTGGTTGCTGTTTTGTTGATACTGTGCATTTGTTGGACCATCATTCGGTTGAATCAAGTGAAGCAGGGGATGTTTTGGGGGATAGAGAGTCTCAGTATAAGAGACCCCCCAAATGCACTGTGGTTATTGTTGACTCCTATACTCTTACCATTGTCCAAACGCTTTTTCATGGAAACTTGTCTATTGGGTCATTGAAGTTTATGGACGTAGTTTCAGCAACCGAGGATCAGGAGAAGGATTCTGTAGTGATGGCGGATTCATTTGGTCGGCTACAGTTGGTTTCAATACCTAAGGACCTACACCAAGATAGGGAGGGTGGGGCTGGTTTGCATACAAGTTCTCAGTTTGAAATGACTGTTTGTGCAGAGGGGTTAAGCGAGGGAGGACATGTAATGTCTATTGCAACCTCTGGAAATATTATTGCTTTTGTGTTAAAAAGTTGTTGCATATTTAGACTATTGCCCAGTGGCACTACAATTGGAGACGTTTCATTTGTGGACAACCTCCTTTGTGGAGAAAGTAATTCCACTCAAGCACATATGGTGGGAGGAATGTTTCTTGAAATTGAAAACGTTGGAAACTTGCCAAATACCCAAGAATGCAACGAAAAATTTTCAAGAAAATTTACTGTTTGGAATAACAAAGGTCACTCAATTGTTTACTTGGTATCCTATTCCAAAGATATGTTTAACTGCGAGCCTCTTTGTGAGATCCCTGCTGCCTCTCATCCTCTTGATGTGAGACTATCAATTCGTTTCATTCCATTGGCCAATTATGTTCTTCGTATTGAATCACTTTGCTTTAGTTCTGAAGAACCTTTACAGTGGAAACCCCATGTTACAATCTGGTCTGCATGTCGGGCACACGATGACCACAGGAATTTGGGTTTATGGTTCAAGTTGCACGGAGCAGGTGTTGACTGGAATACAAATTTTACCTCAAGTAATGAATCTGAGGACCCAGGTGACGTGGAGACCAAACTACCATCTTCAAAATCTTTTGTTTCTAGCTCAGGAAGTGTAAATAGTGTAGATAATGGCAATCTTGGTTTACGTAGTAAGAGAGGAGTTGTGTCTTCTTCCATGGTTATTTCTGAAACATTATTTGCTCCTTACGCTGTTGTTTATGGCTTCTTTAGTGGAGAAATAGAGGTTGTTCGCTTTGATTTGTTTGAGGGCCTAGCTCCTCTTGGTGGGAGTTCACATGATGGTGAGGTGAAGCCACAAATATCCAGACAGCTTTTTTCAGGGCACACGGGTGCTGTACTCTGTTTGGCAGCACATAGGATGGTGGGTTTTGCCAAAGGGTGGAGTTTCAATCAAGTTTTGGTGTCTGGAAGCATGGATTGCACGGTTCGCATATGGGATCTTGAAACTGGAAATCTCATCACAGTCATGCACCAACATGTGTGTCCAGTGCGCCAAATAATTCTTCCCCCAGCTCATACCTACCGTCCTTGGAGTGATTGTTTTCTCTCAGTTGGGGAGGATTCATGTGTTGTACTAGCTTCTCTCGAGACATTGCGAGTAGAGAGAATTTTTTCCGGACATCCCAGCTATCCTGCAAAAGTTGTATGGGATGGTGGAAGAGGTTATATTGCATGCTTGTGCCGAAACCATTCAGGAACTGATGCTGTTGATATTTTGTACATTTGGGACGTAAAGACAGGTGCTCGAGAGCGGGTCCTCCGAGGGACAGCATCTCATTCAATGTTTGACCATTTTTGTAAAGGCATCAGCATAAATTCCACATCTGGTAGTGTATTGAATGTGAATACCTCAGTTTCCTCACTGCTTCTTCCAGTCATTGAAGAAGGGATCTCTACTCACACTCATCTGAATAATTCAGACAAATTGGCCACTTCCTCAAATTTGGTGCCTGGTACTGTGGTTGAGTCCAATACTTCCAGAGTTAGTAGTGCTGAAAAACTATTTCCATCTCATCCAACAACCCTTCAAGGCAGCAAGCATCCGATCAAGTGCTCTTGCCCTTTTCCTGGAATTGCTGCTCTGAGTTTTGACCTTGCATCATTAGTGTTTCCTTATCACAAGGATGACTTGATGGCAAGTGGGAATAACAAGAAAGAGCTTAACCATGTGAAGGGGAAGGCATCAGAGACACCAAGTCCCCACAACATTCCTGTAGCGAATGGTTCTGGTGTGCACGGGGCCTCGAATGACACTGCAGAAGAGAACGTATGGATTAAAACGCTTGAAGATCGTTTACTTCGATTTAGCTTGGCATTTTTACACTTATGGAATGTGGATTCTGAGCTCGATAACATGCTTATAACTGACATGAAGCTGAAGAGACCAGATAACTTTTTTGTAGCTTCTGGTTTTCAAGGAGACAAAGGGTCTTTGACATTGGCATTTCCTAATTTGAGTGCAAATCTTGAGGTACTTTTGAAGAACTGCACTGATTGTTGAGACATGTTTTCTTATTTGGCACCTTTTAAACTTTCTATTGAAAACAATATTTCAGCTTTGGAGAATGTCGTCAGAGTTTTGTGCAATGAGGTCACTCACAATGGTTTCCCTTGCTCAACGCATGATTAGCTTGTCACACACTAGTTCAAATGACAGCAGGTGATCCAAAAATATGTTTTCTGCATGTGAAGTGTAATGGTCTATTCTTTTTTTACTTCTTTGGCTGCACCCAAAATCATGTAAACATGCTGTAATTGCGTCTTTCTTGTCTGATATTTTTTTTGGCAGTTCTCTAGCAGCATTTTATACTAGGAATTTTGCAGATAAAGTTCCAGACACAAAGCCACCTTTACTCCAGGTTGGTATCTTCTGCTATGGTGCCGATTGTTCTGAATGTAAATGCTTAATGCTTATATTTCATTTCCCTTATCCCATTACTGGGGCAAAGGATATGCTTCTAAACTTAGTTGAAACTTTTGCTTTAAATCAATCCCCTTCCTTTCGTTTTCCAGAATAACGGTTTTGAGAATGAGGTCGTTGTAAATCACGAAGTTCAGTAATTACTCGTACAATTTTCTTTACTTGGTAATGATTTCCCATAGTTGAGTAATCTTACCCACACATAATGTCCAAAAAATGTGGTCAGGGTAAAGCACATGGTTTACTAGACTCACCACCTAAGGATATAACAGTTATAGGGCTCGTTAAGAAGTGTTTTTATAATGACTGAAGGGCCTTTTGGTGAAAGGTTTTTTGGGTTCCAAAAGCACTTGGAGTGCATTTTGGAAGAAGCACCAGTTATGTGCTTCTTCCAGGAAGCACTTCCAAGTGATTTTTCAGGATTCACTTGCATTATTACTAAAGATTGGTTTCAAAAGAACTTTCATCAAAAGCGCTTTCAGTCATTGTAGAAGCTCCTCCAAACACACCCATAAATACTCAAGCTGCATTTAGTGATGTATATTCCTAATATAAATATTGGGTGAGTTTTTCTGTTTTAGATTTTCTTTTTTTCCTGGTTGTTTTACCAAAGGGTACAGAGCAGTCGGTTTCTTTCAAACAATTGACATTAAAGTTTTAGAAGAAAACAGTAGAATGGAAGCTAGACACTATTATTTATAGGCATGGAGTGATTAAACTGCTAAATGGACACATGATATTTCTTTAGTCGGTGACAAGATGGGAAATACTAACAAACCGGAACTATCAGTTTTGCCCCCCCATATATCCACAGAATTTCTGCTGTCCTTTTGCAACTGAGAAATACATGTTAAATGCAGAAGGTATGGTCGACGAACTTTTGATGCCCATTTGATTAACCTTCTTGTTTTATTATTCAGCAGCAACCTGGTTAACATCACATTATTCACTTCTGAAATGACAACCTATTTTGTTTTTGGTTAACCTTTTATGCACACTCTTGTTTTTCAGCTTTTGGTGAGTTTCTGGCAAGATGAAAGTGAACATGTACGTATGGCTGCACGCTCTCTATTCCACTGTGCTGCTTCACGAGCGATTCCAGTTCCACTGTGTAGTAAAAAAGAAAGTGGCTTCGCAAATCTGAGTGCTCTATGTGGACTTGGAGAGAATGGGCATGTAAATTCACATGTAGAAGAAACATTGGCTAAGAAATTGTATTCCGAACAGCTGCCAGAACCACAAGGGATTTCTAGGGTTGAAGAATTTAATATTCTTGCATGGCTAGAATCATTTGAGATGCAAGATTGGATTTCTTGTGTTGGGGGGACAAGCCAAGATGCGATGACATCTCATATTATTGTTGCAGCGGCTTTGGCTATTTGGTACCCTAGTCTTGTAAAGCCATGTCTTGCCATGCTTGTTGTTCACCCATTAATGAAGCTGGTTATGGCAATGAATGAGAAATATAGTTCCACTGCAGCAGAGCTCCTTGCTGAAGGTATGGAGAGTACATGGAAACAGTGCATTAGTTCAGAAATACCTCGTCTGATTGGGGATATATATTTCCAGATAGAGTGTGTAAGTGGTCCATCTGCAAACTCAGCCTCACAAAATTTGGCTGTACCGGTTGGCCTTCGAGAGATATTGGTTGGTGTTCTTCTACCAAGTTTAGCTGTGGCTGATGTCCCGGGGTTTTTAACTGTTATGGAAAGCCAAATCTGGTCTACTGCATCTGATTCCCCTGTTCATCTAGTATCTCTTATGACTTTGATCAGGGTTGTGCGTAATTCTCCAAGATACTTGGCTCAATACCTTGATAAGGTTTGTGTTGCCAATTTTAATGGGCAAGACAGTCCATCTTCAATTTCAACAGCAATTCTAACAGTCTTAACTACAGGAAAATAATAGAAAATAATCTAATTGAGCACCATAAGGATACATGGATCACACCATCCATGTATGTTGAGTCAGAGATAAATGGCCTTTATGATTGTTTTAGATTTAGCACAATGGGTATGACCAGAGGATGGCGGGATATTGAAAGTATTTATAAAGTGCTCGCATCCTTTTCCCTTTTCTCGATGATTAAACCTAAGTCATAGGTGATTAGTCATGGTCCAGTTTATCTTTATTCCAGTTTAATAGGTTTATTTTGGTTACAAATGTAATCACACCTGTTGAATAAAGAAGTTCATATTCTCCTTTTTTGTCAAATAACCAACTTAAATGTCATTGTCAATAAATGGTTTCATATCTCATCATGCATATGAAAACTGTGTTTAGTTGTCTTATGAACAAACCTTCTTTTGGAGTCTTGATTTCTTTCTTATGCAATTGGAAATAATATAGCTGGAAAGAAATGGGAAGGGATCTGTATATTGGGATAAGGTGGCTCTGTCTTTCTATTTTAATTAGTTTGATTCTCATGCTTTTATGCTTCATTTGTCAAATTTTATATGACAGTGGGACATATTTGTAGGTAATTGACTTCATTTTACAAACTGTGGACCCGAGCAACTCAGTCATGCGCAAAACTTGCTTTCAAATTTCAATGACTGCATTAAGGGAAGTTGTACGTGCATTCCCAATGGTAGCTCTAAATGATACATGGACCAAATTGGCCGTTGGGGATGTGATTGGAGAGAGAAACAATGCTAGTATTCGGGTTTATGACATGCAAAGGTATTTAAGGATAGAATTATATAGTTAAGAAAAAGCCTCAAAGAAACTTGTGTGACATTCACTTCATCTATGTTACTTTAGCTTTGGCAGTTGGGGTTGGGCCGGTCTCTTGGCCAAATGCACACATACATATACATGTGTTTGTGTGCAAGTGCAAGTTTGTGCGTCATATGTGATTATGTAACATATACAACAACAACAACAAAGCCTTATACCACTAAGTGGGGTGGGCTATATGAATCCTAGAACGCCACTGCGCTCGGTTTTGTGTCATGTCTTTCGTTAAATCCAAGTAGTCCAAGTCTTTTCTTAAGAGTCTCTTTCCAAATCTTTTCTTAGGTAACATATGAAGGCTATAAATAATCGAAGAATTTATTAGTATGTGCAAGAGCCTTGTAATAGCTATATTTATATAAATTTTCAACCTATTTTTGGGGTTGTGCACTTATCTCTTTAAGCAGAATATATGAACATATTTGATGTTTTTGCCTTTCGATTTTGTGCTGGCTTACTTCAATTTTGTGTATGGTTTTTTCAATGTAGTGTTATGAAGATAAAAGTTTTGGATGCAAGTGGACCTCCCGGACTTCCAAATTTGCTTGCACCCAGTTCAGAAATGATGATAGTTACCGCCATTTCAGCTTTGGGCTTTTCCCCGGATGGAGAGGTACATTGTGTTAATTGAAAAGTAATGTTTTTTCCTCAGCTATTAATCAATGCCCTTATTATCGGCCTGGTACATGTTAGACTATGCTTCGAACATTACACTGGCTCCTCAGGTCATGACCTATCATTTTCTTTATTTCATATCATTGAATACTAAGCAGTATGATTTTAAAAGATTTGGTCAAAGCAATTATTAACCTACTTTAGTCAAGTAAATCAATTTTCATTATTTATTTTTTACTATTGATAATTAACCATATTGCGTTTGGTTGGAGTCATGTGGAACCATTTAGCATATCTATACACAAGGACGAGGATGTTCAATTGTGTTTTCTACTATAATAACATATCCAATTGCAGGGGCTGGTTGCTTTCTCTGAGCATGGATTAATGATCAGATGGTGGTCATTGGGATCGGCGTGGTGGGAGAAATTGAGTCGGAACTTAGTTCCTGTCCAGTGCACAAAATTGATCTTTGTTCCTCCCTGGGAGGGATTCTCACCTAATTCTTCTAGGTCAAGCATAATGGCAAGCATTATGGGACATGATAGGCCTGCCAATATTCAGGTAACTCTCCTACGTGGAACGTAAATGATATTTCTGCGTTGTGTTAAATTCGATTTTCCCTCTCACATTTACATTTGTTACCATCTCTCTTGAGGCATTTATCTATTTCTGTTTGACCATGTGAACTCTCCAAATATTTCTTCTGCAAAACTGCTTGTTTTACCGTCCCTTTTCTGTTGGGTGGTAGGAAAGCGCAAAGGGTTTGAGTCAGGCGGACAATATGAAACTATTGATTCACAATCTTGACCTCTCCTATCGATTAGAATGGGTTGGTGCACGGAAAGTACTTCTTACTAGGCATGGCCATGAGTTGGCCAGTTTCCCCTTGTAAGCATCCTCTCGAATTTAAATGGACACGATTGAGGAAGTCTTGTCCATGAAAGTTCAAAGTTGGCATCCGTTGGTTGCGTATTTTCAGCACCAGTTGTCTCAGTGAGAAATAAGTTTTTTAAGCTGACTGATGGATACAAATAGTTATCTGCCTTGACGTCGTCGTCATTCTGCTCACAGTTAATTCAAAGCTCTATGACAATGAAGGTTTCTTACTCGTGCCTGCATCGATAATGCGAAGCTTGTAAAACCTGTTACACCGTTTTCCAGCAACTTAGATTTGTTTAGGCCATGTTGTATCATTTTATTCATATTAATTTTTTGGGTACAAGGGGAAGAGAAGCGCGATTACTCGGAAAGTGTTTTCGGGGTTAGGTTTAGGAGATCTTCCATGTACAGATTACTGTGACCCAGGTTTCGGATTTATTAGCCCAGCCCATTTCAGAGATGTTTTCATCGTGCCCTAGCTCGATTCCCTCCAAAGGGCTTGAAGAAACACAAAGCCTAAAGCCTCATAGGTGTGCACATGGTCTCTACAATAAAAAATAAAACAAAAAAAAATAAAAAAATTATATTCACTCACGGTTCGATCTCTATTCAATAATCGGTGACCATTTAACTTTTGTTATTATATTTTTTTCGTCCACTGTTGAATTAAGATCAAACACCGAGTGACCGCAGGTATCCTGGACCAAGAGAAACAAGACTCATGTAATGTATCTGAAATGAGTGGTTAGGATTGAGAATGTCTATATGAATTTTACAACATACATTCCATAATGAGATGAACCGGTAGCTTTCCATATACATACAAAGTCCCATAATCGTTGCAAATATAATTGGATATGACTATATAGAAAGAAGCGTGTGCATGTACTTGTACATGCTTAGTTGTATCATTAAAAGATCCATGCGTGTGTTCTCTGAATATCGATCTATGGTATTTTGTCCTTTAGCATATTGCCTACCTACGTACTCAAATTCTATCTCACAATTTCGCCCTCTTTAAGCAATAATAGCATGTTAATTTTTCTTGTCTCCAACCATAAAGAGTTAAGTATTAGTTTCTTTATATTTTCATTACCTTTTAGTGACGGACTCTCCACGGAAAGGAAGTGCCCTAGTGTGGGCACTTCTTAGCCATTATTGGGGCTGATTTGAGTCCTAAATATGCTCATTTGCAAAAGGATAGTATTAGGGAGGCCAAATTTTTAAATTAAAGTTTGTAAACCAACTGATGTAGATGTTGATGATTTGATTATTAATTAAGTGCTGATTATCGTGCTTATTTCTTATTGATGACACATCATTTGATTTGTAAATTTGGTTTGAAATTTTGATTCCCTAGCATTATGCTTTGCAAAATACCCTTGAAGGCTGTTTCTTTTCAATTTTACTGCTAATATTGTCCAAATACCTTTAGTTGTAGATGGCCTCATCCTCCAATTGATTTAACCCTCTACCTAATTCGCTTTGCCACTCAAACTAGTTTAGGTATGGGGCGTTGGGTGTAGAAAGAGAAGGGTACACGTAACTGCTTAACAAAGTAATACACGTATTAACCTGCATTATTATAAGCAGCCCTAGCAGCCTACAAAAGTTAACTATTTCAATATCTAAATACTCCTGTCGTCAATAATTCTCCTTGACTTGACCTTCCAATTATTTATAGGGCTTTTCATATGTAAATTCTTGATTTTTTGGGTTATCACATGTAAATTCTTGATAACATTACACTATACAAAAAAAATACTTTAAACTCAATATGTAGTTTAGAAAAAAAGGAAGAGATTTCTCCGACTATTTTTCTCTTCCTGCACACCTTGGTTTATTCTAGGCTCTGGCATGAATAAATCATATTAGAACAATGGACATAAAAAACAAAAAGTGTGCAAAAGGATAAGGGAAGGGATACGGAAATCATTTCTCTTAAAAAAAAAAAAAAACTCAACTAACTTAATAACGGGGCAGGATTCCGCAATGAAAAATTATTAAAGCATGACAAGTGGAGAGATGGGAGAGTTTCCATTCGGTTGAGCTCTTCAAGTGTTTTTGTATAGAACTTAAGAGTTGTAGAACTATTTTTTTCTACTTTATCATTATTTTAATATATCGTTTTAGTTATTTTTTGTGCTTGTGGAAAAATCACATTCATTTGTTTAACAGTTATAGAAAGTTGGGGGATTAGAATTTGCAAGTAAAATATCGATGATAGTAAGAAGTGCAAAACAAGATAGAATGACGTTCATGAATGGGTACAATGCCCTAATGACATATCCCTATAATTTTCAGTCCCCAACTCTCCATTCCTCAATTAGCGTCACCCTTCATGCCATTCATCTTATTCCCCATAATACCATCCGCATAAAATAATAGAACTTGCAACTGTTTTTGATAATGATGTGACCCTTATTTGCCTATAAATATTCATTCACAATCCATGAAAAAATATAAATTCCTTGAATCTCAGCAACTGCATGCAAACGCCACAAGCAAGTTACAAAATTTCAAACTGATCATCATGAAGCACGTCGTAGTACTGGTATGGGTTTTGGTCTTGTGTTGTGTCTTGGTTAACAAGGATGGGCAAGCCCTAGCCATGGAGGACGAAATTGAAGAGTTGGCAGTAGATCATGACTATAGAGATGCCCTCGGTAAGGCCATTTTATTCTTCGAAGGGCAACGCTCGGGAAAGTTGCCCACCAGCCAGCGAGTAAACTGGAGAGGAGACTCTGCACTCTCTGATGGAAAACCTCAAAATGTATGATATTAATTATTTACGTGGCTTTAAGTACATTTTCATGCACTATGTAGTTTTTATTTTTTAAAAGTTATTACGTTTTTATAAAGGGTTTTTAGTAGGATTCTACGTATTGTTGAATATACCCTAAATAACATATATTATCGAATAACTTATATACTAAAATTTTCTTTAAAAGAAAAATAACAATCTAAATATATAGACCTTAAATTACTTTTAACGTGTATATCCCAAAATTATTTCTCTTCTTTAACTTGCATCCATCTAGTTTGTAAGAATCTCTTAACGTAATTATCTTCGTCCAAGAGCCTCATTTCCATTACTTCCTGCCAAAACCTCTTCCTCTTCGTAAGCTTATCGGGACACTCTTTATCCTCCCCATTAGATGAAGAACAAGGATTAGGCAATGTATACATCTTCCTGTAAAACCATGTTATTCATTGAGTGATCTTATCCTTCCCGAATCCCTATATTCGAAAAAACTGCTAATGATATTTTAACTATGTATCCTCCTCCTTGTTTCTTCCCCTTAATACTCTCTGAAACTACGCCATGTTTGAAAATTGGAGCTGGAGAATATGTTTTCATGATACAGTATTCATAAGAATATGTTTCGGATTACGCAGACGTAAAATCTAAAAGTAAAATGGGGGTGTATATAAAAAAATATGGGGTGTATATATCTGAGGGTATTATGAGAAAGTATGTGGAGGTGTATTAAGATAAATTTTAATGAAAAACAAAAATATGTTGTATTAAATATGTAAGGTGTATTTAACAATATGTGAAATTTTAATAAAACAATTATTTATAAATTTGCAGGTAACATATATTTGACAAGAGAACATTAACTTTAAATTAAATATGACGATATTTATGTTTTGTTGTGGTTTCAATGATGCACGCGCAGGTGAATTTGGCTGGAGGATACTATGATGCAGGTGACAACGTCAAGTTTGGGTGGCCAATGGCATTTAGTGTCAGCTTGTTGAGTTGGGCTGCTGTGGAGTACCAGCAGCAGATATCTTCTGCAAACCAGCTTGAATATCTCCATACTGCAATCCGTTGGGGCACAGATTACATACTGAAATGTCACTCTTCAGCCACCACATTTTATACCCAGGTTCCTATTTAATTATATAGAAAAGTCATACAACTAAGAAGTGCACAAATTAGATTAAAATTGAAACCACATAAATGTTGGATTAAATTAAAAAATGGAAAATTTGATATAGGTCCAATTTTTTTAGCCAACATTAGGAATAGTCCAGTTTCTTAAGTAAGTCCAATCCCTTAAATTTAGGATTATTTTATTATCAACAAGTATTACTTATTGATAAGATTTATTATAAAAATTAATTTCATTTTAATTATCTCTTTAATTATTTCTTTCTTTGTTATTTTTATTCTTCTATTCCAAACTCCATTTATAATTTTTTTATAATCAACTTATACCACACGTTAATTGTATTTATCAACATATATGAAAGATTCATATTTATAATTAACATGTATCACTGCTTAATGTATCTTACTTGTAGGCATTATATTTTTGTATTCTATAATTAGGTTTCATATCTAGCTTATAGGTAGAATATACGTTCAATTGTCTATCTACCTATGCCATAGGTTTTTGTTCATAGTCTACCTATAACATAGATTAATTGTGTTACATATATATTTTTTTCTTTTTATAATATACCTTTATCACAAAAGTTAATAAATTTAAAATTTTCATCTAAAAAGATAAAATTGAATAATTGATACAAAAATATGTAATTAAATAACTAGACTCAGTCCTAAAAACAATCTATACTTTTGCACCTAGATCTAAAAGCCCCATTAGAAAATTACTATGTTGACTGAACCTAAATCAAAAGACTCCTTAATTATAAACATTTTCATGTGCTTTTCTATTTTAACACCACACCTTATCTAAGTACACCCACTAATTATTTAAAAATAAATAAAATGGCTATATATAACACATATTAAGGACACCCACCCACTGCTAGTGCTATCATCCCCCCACGACAAATACACACCCACTCCAGCGACTTCGTCATCGGCTCCTACTCCAGTAAAGAGTATGTTAACCCAAACCATGTCAAATAAAATCAGCAGTATGCAATGTCAATAAAAACTTCCTTCAAAGTTTTGTTCGATTTATATGAATATATAGTGTGAGCTACACAACTGAGAATAGGCCCTAGGGTTTGGATTGGACGATTATATGGTCAGCCATGGTGAATTTGACCCCTAGGGTTTCAAATGCTGGGAATGGTTTGATTTTATGTCACGGTAATTTCCAGTTCATATATAGGTGGGAGATGCAAATGCGGATCACCAGTGCTGGGAGCGCCCTGAGGACATGGATACACCACGAACACTTTACAAGATCACTTCTACTTCTCCTGGCTCCGAGCCAGCAGCTGAGGCTGCTGCTGCCCTTGCCGCTGCTTCACTTGTCTTTAAAGTGGTTGATTCCAACTACTCCGCGTTGCTCCTAAGCCATTCACGATCAGTAAGGAGAAAAATTAATTTTGAGTTCATCTCTTTTCAAACAAATTTTATCTTACTGAAATAAATTTGTATACACAGCTGTTTGACTTGGCAGATCAGCATAGAGCGTCTTACCAAGGCTATTGCCCATTTTACTGCTCCTACTCTGGCTATCAGGTAAAAAC